TCCAACTACATGATGTTCAAGAAAAGGCAAAACTTATAGGGACAGTAAAAAGATGAGTAGTTACAAGGGGTTGGGGAAGGGAGAGAAGAACAGGCAGAACACAGCAGGCTTTTAGGGCAGTGAAACTATTCTGTATGGGACTATAATGATAGATACACATTCTTGTACCTTTGTCCAGACCCACAGAATGTACCACATTAACAGTGAATCCTAATGTAAACCATGGCCTCTGGGTGCTTATGATGTGTCAGTACAGGTCCATCAGTTCTAACGAATGTACCACCCTGGTGAGAGGTGTTGATAATAGGGGAGGCTAAGCATGTGTGGGGCCAGGGGCCTATGGAAAGTCTCTGTACCTTCTGTTCAGTTTTGTTGTAACCCTAAATATGCCCTAACATGTCTTTAAAAACAAACAACCCAAGGACACAGGAAAATTACAAAGACGTCTTCACGTTCTCTCTGGTCACTTGATTTCAATTATTTGTTTTCCAATTAAGAATGAAACAGTTTGCCACCCAGAAGATGACAAGTTACAAACCGCCTGAAAGTTTCCTCCTAAAGGGAGCAAGTATTTCAGAACCCTCAACTGTCCTCTCCAGTGTATCCCAACACTTGCAGGGAACCCCAGACACAGGTGGAATTCATTCTACAAAGGTTTATTAAGCAGCAGCCACGGGGCACCTCACTACATACTGAAGCTGGAGCTTGTTAGCATCTTGCCAACCCGGAGCAGCTTTTTCTGAGGGTAGCAGTTGTTCGCTCTGACTCGGAGGATCCTGAATGCCAGCCTCTGTGTCATCAGAAGATTGTAAGTACTTGAGGAGAGCACAGGAGAGGATGGAGCTAAAGGACACCTGCAGAGGGTGTCCCTGGAGGAAGTGCTAATGCCAGTGCCAGTATGGCCTCTGGGCCAATGCACTGCCTGCTGGGCCCTGGAGAGCCTGCCAGGCCTTCACCTATGCCAGTGATGGCGAACCTTTTGAGCTCGGCGTGTCAGCATTTTGAAAAACCCTAACTTAACTCTGGTGCCGTGTCACATATATAGAAATTTTTTGATATTTGCAACCATAGTAAAACAAACTTATATTTTTGATATTTATTTTATATATTTAAATGCCATTTAACAAAGAAAAATCAACCAAAAAAATGAGTTCACGTGTCACCTTTGACACGCGTGTCATAGGTTCTCCATCACTGACCTATGGCCTTGTCACAGCCTCACCAGTGATCTACTTATGTATTTGTGACCTGAACCCAAATCCCCACTTAGACAACCGCCTGCTCAAAGGCTGAGCCTGAAACATATGCCTCCTGAAGCCAGGGTCATGCTCATTGAATTGAAGTTATTACCTTGGAGAAAGCGGGAGCTTGAAACTATTTCTTGAATTTAAAATTTCAGAAATTTTTGCCGAGGTCTGAATACGCAAAGTGGGCTGGAACTTAGTGGGAAGATAGGATTCTCCTTCCTTGAACAGTTTCATGAAAGCGGCTCTGGCCAGAGTCCAGCAGGCGAGAAGCAGGGTGACCTCTGCCCACTCGGGAAGACTCAGATGACCCTATGTTTATTTTTAGATGTTTTTGTACAGAACCCCAAAAAACCTTTGGACACTGGGCTCATGTCCAAGGTGAGGTGAAAACAATCAGTAACGAAAGCATCAGACCCTCTCTTGAAGAGCCAATGTGCCAATCCAGGGACCCCTAGTCTCTCAAAACTGTCAGGTTTGACCCATAGAACCTTGCCATTTATAAAGAGCTGGAGAGCTGGGCCACCAGGCTCTCCTCTCTGACCCAACACCTGACACTTACTCTCTGTGTGGCCTCGGACAAGTCCCTTCCCCTCTCCAAGCCCGTTTCCTCATTCATCAAATAAGAGTAGGGATGGAACACATAGACTCGGAGGAATCTCACAGCAAGCCACAGCTCATCCTGGGTGCTAACACTGGTCCTGGGCATGGAGCAGGGGAAGAGCCCTTAAAACCCAGCCTTTAGGAAAATGCTTACGTAGCTCATCTGACTTAAGCATTTCCCTTGAAGGCATATTTAGATCCAGCTGCAACAAACAACCATGGAGTACCTACTATGTACTAAGCTATTTCATTAATTGTCTCCTCAGAACCAGCCCATAAGAAAATTGTCATTGTCCCCATGTCACAGATGGCAGGCCTGAGGGTACACTCATCCACAGCATGGGCTATGTGATCACCAAGGTAGGGGGTTACTCCTAGCACTCCGCTTCCTTCCTAAGGGTCCTTACACCCTCCAGGCTTTAGTTTTCTCACCTATAAAATGGAGATAATGCTATCCCCTGTCTTCTGGGCTTGTTTCCAGGTTTGAATGCAATGGGCATGTGAAGTGCTCGATAACCATGACCTATTACCACTTAGAAATATTATTACTGCTGCTATCATTACCATTTCTACTAGAGATGAGAAGAAATAGACTCAGCGAGGGTGTGTGAAAGGACATCACTCAAAACACCACAACGTTCTAAATTTTAATTGAGTCCACGGACAGGCAAGGTGGGTCAGTGCTGAGATACGAACTTGCCATGTAACTCTGGCCAGGCTACTCAACCTCTCAGGTTTAGGGTCTCCACCTGCCTATAAAGTAGAGGCAATATCTCCCCAGTTCATGTGATTCATGTGCTAATGTAGATGAAAAGCCCCTGGCAGGGTGTGGAGTGAGCAGAAGGCCATGAAGGAATGTTCCCTCACTTCCCATATGCCGCTTCTGAAATCCCCAAGAATGTAGCCTGCCAGTCCTTCCTTGAAACTGTTCCTGTATCAGAATTCTCAGACCAAAAAAAAAAAATTCTCTAACACACAGGCTCAATGGCCCAGCCAATGGCATGTGGCCCCACTATGGGACTGAGCTTTCTTCTAAGGTCTAAGTGGATCCAAATTTTGCCACGGCCCATGTCCTGGGAAGTTCAAGTCCACACATGCACATGGACAACACACTCACATGCATGTACAAAACCTCATCCGACCCTTCCCACAACCAGGCACAATGCCCCCCAGCCAAGCCCCACTGGCCTCAGCATCAACTCCCAAGGATGTGTAATCATAGGAGAAGCAGTAATAATACCAGCCATTACATCTCCTCCCTTCTCCCATGGTTCACAGAGCACTTTCCCTGTTAGCCAAGTAGGCAGATGCTGTGTTTTATTCATCTTTAAATACCCACAGAATAATGCTAGGTACAGAGTAGATATTCAGAAACTATTTCTTGAATAAATAAATTTTATTTTTACAAGATTTTTTTTTATAAACCACCATTATTCAGCCCTTACTATTAGTTACACACCCTGCTAAGCGCTGGACGTGCATTCTTGCATTTCCTCCTGATAACCACCCCATAAGGCAAGCAAGCTCAGTTATCCATCCCTGTTTTGCAGAAGAGGATACCGAGGATCAGGAAGTTAAGTGATGTGCCCGAGGTCACAGCTAGTGAGCAACAGACCTGAGAAGTGAGTCCTAATTCCAGACCCTGGCTCTGAACCCGTCCAGTCATTCTCTTCCTCTTTAGCCAGAAGAGGCAGCAAGGAGGGGGACAGGAGAGATGAGTATGTAGTCTGAAGAGATCAAGAAAGCAATGCTTTTTATATTTGAAAAACCAGAAAAATCCTGTTCTCCTCAGGCCGCATTTTCCTGGCTCACAGCACAGGGCTTGTTGATATCGCTTCTGTGCTCTCCTAACTTCCCTCCTGTAGGTCCACCCATCTCCAACATTCCAGCACTTTCCTCTTGATCCCACCTACCATTGGGGGAGCTGAGGGGAACATCTTTTGTAAAAGGGCACAGAGTTGACAAGTTCTTGTCTTCTCAGAGGTTTTGTTTTCAGCTCCTGAACCAGAGGGTAGCTTCTAATCAAGTTTATGAGCAACTGCCTACCCAGAAGCAGGCAGGCAAGGGGTGATGTGGTTGGTCAGGGTGACTCAGGTATAAGAAAAATTCCATTTTCCTCTTTTCCACAAGAAAAATGAGTGGCACAAAGGAGGAAAATAATGGCATTGATGCTCAGTCACGGGATCAGGGGCAATAGAGAATGGTAGAGACTACAGCCAACCACGTATCCTTCGGAGGTGGCTGCTGCTAGCTCAGCCACATTCTGCCACGTAGGTATGCAAGTTCAGTATTGCCAAATCTTTCAACATTCCATGGGATGCCAGAATCCTATTTCTTTTTCCCACATGAATTTTCCCAATTTCTAAATGTTAGAAATTAATTATTTCTCTTTAAAAAACAAAAAGCAAAGAACATCAGTGCCCTGGACTTTACTATGAGCTACACGTTTGCAACCTCTATTGATCCTTGCGGCACAGAAAGATATGCTCACCAGACGTCCCTGTGTTCCCCTACATTTCCCAGCCTCCCTGCAATTAGGTGAGGCTGTGTCTCAGGTTATGGCCAGCAGCCATGACTGCAGGATCCACACCCTGGCCAGTTAAGAGCCACTGTCTTCTCCCATTTCTCTTTACTGAGGAGCTGCAACCCTGGAAGCCACATGGTGTAAATAGCACAGCAAAGTAACGAGTTGGAAGTGTCTGCCCTTCCCTCCACAGACCCCAGGTAGGAGAGATCTCGGGTGGGTCAGTGGAGGCAGCCAGTATTACCTGCACTAGCACACATCTGCAGCACATGTCTAAATTACAAAAACAACCTGGTAGTAGTTTAGCACTTCCTGGTTTCCAAAGCACTTTAATGCCCCTTCCCATGTGCCCCTTTACTGACTCTCAACTCCATAAGAAGACAGGATAAGGCTTTTTTATTTCACAGATGAGTAAAATGAGGTTCAGAAGGTAGAAGTGAGTAGCCCTGAGCTGTGAGACAAATAAGTGGTGGACTGGGATTCTAGCTCTGGGCTCCTGAGTGGACTCCCTGTCCAGTGCTCCTCCTACCTCCCAACTTAAGAGCTGGTCTTTGCAATGTGAACTCGCTGGCACTCTCTGGGCCACCTGTGAGCTGTCTGCACTAGTTGCTTTAAGATGCGCCTCTTACCTTTCCTGTGGACTTGGTCCCCTTCCAGATACAGAAGTAGCAGATGGTCCAGGCTGCCAGGAGACACAAGGCCAGCTCCCAGCGGAGATTCCCAATGTGCTCAATCCCATCCGAGATGGCCAGGACCCGGCGCCTGCAGAAGAAAGGGCCATGGGTTACGGGGGCTGGAGAGGGCCTGCCCCAACCGAACCTTGAGCAAAGCTAGTGCCACAAAGGGGCAGGGACAGCCTCTCCTTCCTTCACCCACCATCCACCATTCACCCAGCATCCTCTGAGCCAAACCCAGGGCTGGGGGTGGGGACCTCAGAGAGGATCAAGACCCAGTCCCCTGCCTTCATGGAGTCACTCCATGGGGGGAAAAAGGGCCCAGTTAGCAGACGGTCCACAGTGCAACATGGTAAGGATATGATGGGAGAAGTACAAGGCCTTTGGTTAGACCAAGACGCCCCTAGCACACCTCAGGGTCCTGGGAGACCACAGGAATGTCCATAAACACTCAGGTCCCTACCTCAGCGGAGATCACACACCCTGGCCAATGGCACCTGTGTCACTTCAGATAGAAGCTTTCAGAGGCAGGTGGTATGGTTCACCATGTCTCCTTTCCTCTGCTGTTGATCATGACAGAAGCAAGTGTCAAGATGGAGCCTCTAGAAGCCTGAGCTCCTGAGTGACATCATGAACCCTCCTGCCATCCTGTCTCAGAAGTGTTGTGTGAGCAAGAAATGAACCCCGTTGCTTTAAGCTACTGAGATCATTGAGGTGTTTGTTACTGCGGCATAAACCAACCCATCCTGACTGTTAGAGCAGGGCCAAGGAAAACTTCCTGGAAGAAGTGATATTTGAGGCCACTGTGATAGATGATGGAATTTAAGGGTAAAGATTGTTTTAGGTTGAGGGAATAGCATGCACAAAGGCCAGAAAATGAACCTGGGATACTTGGGGAATGCTGGAGCACAGTGATCAGCGATCAGAGGGGAAAGCAGGAAAGGTAAATAGAGGCATCATCGAGAGCCTTGAGTAACATGCCAAGGGGTAGGGGTGTCCCGAAGGGCCCAGGCCACAGGAGAGAAAGGACCCCTGGGTGCGCTGAGCCAATGCTTCCAGCTACACAGTCCCTCAGAACCCATCAATTGTTCAGAGTTGACACAGGACTGGCTCCCAGAGACCATGCCTGGGGTTTGTGTTTCTTTAAAGTCAAACTTGCCACGCTCCATATTGTGCTGAACCATGGCACCAACACAAACCCCCTCCAAACTTGCTCCACGAACCCCATCCCGGCTGCCAAACCACCCCCACCAGACCACGCCAGTCGCCTCAGTGCTCTGGGAATGTCCTTTGAGAAAGCAGCTCCCATCCCACCAAGCATGAAAGCCTCCCTCAGTGTCTGTCTCCCTGGGAATCCGCTCCGGGCCTGATTCTGCATTAATTACTCAATGACACCAATTAGCACTGGTCTGCAGGCTCCTTCCAGCCCCAACCCCCACAGGGGAAATCAGGCAGTCCCCCAAATAAAATCAGGCTGTGTGCAGTCATGGATTTAACTCAAAAGGAAACCAGCTCTCAACCTATAGCCAGAAGTGGGAACATCACATAAGTATGTATTTATTGAGCAACTACTTGAGCCAGGCATTACATTAATAACTAGAAGCCCAGCGCACAAAATCACGCAGCCCCGTCCACCTGTGCGAACAGCCCCGCCCACCTGCGCTGGTCTTTGGTCATTACAGTGTTAAGGCCACAGGCCTTTCATAATATAGATAAGGTACTGAGGGTAAAATGGTACACATGGCATGGTTCTTGTCCTTGACTATGAAAAATTAGACACAAAAGAAGTCCAAGTTATTTGAGAAAGAACAGCGATGGCCACATAGTTTTAGCAACCATTATTTTATTTGCATCTTATGTCTTAGCAGCCTCTGGCTTTAATTCATTTGAAAACTACAAGCCTTATTAAACGAAACCCTACACAGTATCTATTATTTTAAAAGAGCAGTGGGCCCCAGAGCATAATCCTTGTGGGGTACTTGCCAAAAGACAAACATCCCTTCACTCCATCCCAGATCCACTAGGTCCGAATATTTGTGGAATGGTCCCTGGGAAGCTGCATTTTGCCACGTTTCCCCAAGGAGTACTGGCAAGGAAGGAAGACCCACCAACTCCACCTGAATAATTTTCAACCTTTTATTTATTTATTCATTTATTTTTGGAAAGGGGGGCTTTGGGGAGGCAGTCAGGGATCCTGTGAGAAGCTTCTTTCTCCCCAGAAATGCCCTGAAGTAGCCCCACTCTCAACATTCTTCAGGAACTTCAGGGGGCTCACTGACCCCCTTGTCTCCAGATTAAGAGCCTTGAAGACAACATATACCCACCATCTTGCAAACTAACCCCCAAAGTGCCCTGATAACCCATCAGCTGGTGAATGAGAAGGGACAACCCAGAGCAGGACAGAAACTGCGTCACTGCCCATGGAAAGACCTGTGTGTGCTCCGTCCCACTCCACTCCAGCCTCTGAATTTTTCATAAAAAAAAAAAAACACACAAAAACCCACTTACACAAGGTCCTCAGCTAGCAGAGATGCATGCACACACATGCCTTCTTATTGAGGTAGTTGTTTTCTGAACCGGGGAACTGAAAGCTGGAAATGACAGAGACTGAGGGAGCAAGAAGGAGCAGACCAGCCAGGAGTGGGCTGGCGCGGGTCCCCTCTCTTCCACACTTTGGATGCTGTGAACTTTTGAGTCATGCAGCCTGCTTTGGCGCCCTCTCGCTTAATTGAACAATCTCATTCCCAGAATGGGAAGCAGATTACTAAAAGCTATGCGGGATGAATTGCTCTTTTGTTTCACCAGACACTATTTGAAAACATCCTCAAACCATTTTCTTTAGGAGTTACCAGCGCTGACTCTAACTAGCCATGGACCTTGGGTTTCTAAAGAAAGCGGGCTCGGGGGCCAGGTTCTCAGCCTGCAGGGCTGTGGGGTTGTTTTGAAACCCACAAGGGCAGCCTTTGAGAGCATGGGGGCTGGGCACTCAGCTCTGGGGACTTGGAGAAGGCACAGCTCTTCCTGGGAAAGAGCTTTCTTAATGACCTGGCCCCATGAAGCACTGGGACAGAAGAAAGGTCTGAATAAGGAAGAGTTTGCTGCCAACACCCTGGCAAAGAAAGGACTCAGGACCAGACCTCCCAATACTGGCCAGGGAGCGGGAAATGCTGAAGACTAGATGGGGCCCTTCGGAGGGATTCATTTACTCGAACGAGTAATATTGCGTACCTACTATGAGCCAGGCACACAGATTCTTCAAGAAGCACCTTTTTCAGGCCATAAGAGTAAAATGTTTCTGGAGATTTCCACCCAGAGACTGACATCTCAGTACAATGCCCATGCTTCTCCAGCCATTGGCACGTACAGAGATGGGCTCCAAGTCCAGCTCTGCTCCTGCCCAGCGGTGTGTCTGTGTGTAGGGGACATCCCCTCTCTGAGTTTCAGCTTCATCTGTAAAATGGGAGCGATGCTATCTCCCCCTTCTCCAGGTTTTCAAGCATGAACTCTTCTAACCCTCTCAACAATCCCTGAGGTAGGTACAATTATTTTCACCATTTCAAAGATGAAAAACTGAGGTACAGAGAGATTAATAACTTGCTCAAAGTCATACCACAAGCAAGTGTAAGAGCTGTAAACTGAACCCAGGGATCCCGACTCCGGAGCCCACACTTTCAGCTACAATGTTACCTGCCTAGATTCTCCTATGAGTTAAACCACAGCTTTCCTCTCTTCTTTATAAATTAGAGCTACCTATTGCATGCCCTAAGGCTACCTAATGTGTCTTTGTGTGTTCAGTAATAGCAGTATACAGTATCTGTCCTTTACCCATTTATTAATCTATACAAGTAATACGTACTAAAGTGTCTTCCGTGTGCCAGCTACTGTGCTATGCCCAGGGGTCCCTAAAGAACGGGTGGTCTAATGAGGAAGGCAGATGAATAAACAGAGCAGGGCGTGGAGGGTTATGACAGAGAAAAGCTGGGGACCCTCACTGGGACCTGGCCAACATCAGGATGGAAAGGTGGAGCTGGGTCCTGCCTGCAGAGTAGTTAGTTTGGTTTGCAATGGAGAGTTAGCAAAGAAGAAAGCGGACATCTGGGGGCAGAAAGGCCACCTAGAGCAAAAGGCTCGGTGAGGCCAGGGCAGGACACGGCATGTAGGGTCAGTGCAGCAGAAGCCAGGGTGAATAATGGGGGTGAGGACACGGCTGGAATGGCGAGCAAGGGTTGGACTACGAGCCTTCCTGAGGGGGATGGAAGCATGGAAGAATCTTAAACGGGGGTGAGACCCCATCAGATTCATGTTTCTGAAAACTCTTTGGCTGCAGTGGGAAGAATGAATGGTAAGGGTGAAACGGAACAGGGTGTCTAGTGCAGAGAACTTTGCCTGAATTTGGACAATAAATAGGGAGGGTCTGGACTAAGGTAGGGGAACTGGTGGGTTTGAGCAGCAGAGGTACAGGGGGCAGGTAGCAGGGAAGGGGGAGGTCTAGGCTGACACCCAGGTTTGTCCCTGGGTGGATGGCAGCTCATTAGTTGAGCAGGAGTGAACTGTCCAGTGAGGTAGAGGAGATAAAGCATCCATCTTTTAGACAAGAGGATTTTGAGATGCTTGTTGGACACCCAGAGAGCTAAAATGCCCCAAGGCAGCTGGGTCTCTGAATGCAAAGCTCAGAAAAGAGATGCAGGGGGAGATCAGGGTGTCCCGGGAGAGTCTGAGGCTGCCTGGGGAGTGCTGAGAAGGGGAGGGGAGGAAAAGGGTCTATAGCAGAGCCCTGGAACCCTGACATCTAGAGAGCGGAGAGTGGCAGGGAGCAACCAGAAAAGGTGAGACACCCTAACAAGGGGGCGGGGGAGGACATTCCAGCAGGGGAAGCGGCCCATTCGCCAAGTGCTGCAGAGCAGCCTGGTGAGAGGGAGAGTGGGACCAGGCCAGGTGGGTGAGGCAAGGAGAGCTGCTCACCTGGTGGGATGGACCTCAGATGGCAGGATAAGGAGGAGATGGGAGGTGAGAGCCTGGTGAGGTGGCTCTTTTGAGAAGTTAGGTTCTGACAGGCAGAGATGATGGTCCTAAAGGGGCCACAGGGTA